GAGGAGATTCCAGCGGCCCTAACGAGGAGAGGTATTCATTTGGGGGGGGGTCGCGACCCCCCCACCAAGAGAGCGCTCCTATGGGGGGGGGGGGGTCCCCACCCCCCACAAACAGAGCGCTCCTGATGGGGGGGGGGTCCCGCCCCCCCCAGCAGCAGAGCGCTCCTGCTGGGGGGGGGTCGGCCATGGGCTTAGGTGTGCAGGGGGGGTAGCGAGCAGTGTGCGCCCGCTCACACACACACACACACACACACACACACACACACACACACACACACACACACACACACACACACACACACACACACACACACACACCGCTCACCCTTGCCACGCGCACTGGGCCTTGCACTTTGAATGCCGTGGGGCTCCTGTCGTCAGACGTGGAGACGCGAGGGTTGCGCCCCTTGCCCCACCACCTCGTGTGTGTGGAGAAGTTTACCTTACCTTACCTTACCCTCCTCGTGCCTCTTCCCAACGTTCCCTCGGCGGCCGATGCCGTCTGCTCCGGCTCCCCAGTCCCCCCGGGTCTGCCCTGCTCTCGTCTGCGCTAGTTTCTGCTCCGTCCTCACCAGCGTCTCTCCTCTGTCCTTCTTCTTCCGAGCCCATGCCCCATGGGGACATACATCGCGATTTTTTTCGAGGTCAGACCCATTCATGCCTGCACCTGGCACCACTGTGGACGGTCCGTCCGACGTCGGGTAACCGTCGCCGCCGCCCTCGCGACTCAAGGTGCGCGCTGCGTGACCGCCGTGAGCTGCCCTCCCGACCCATGTAAAAAAATCCGCCATCTCCCCTCTCAGTGAGCCGGGAGAGCGCTCCGGGCACCTCCGGGCAGCCGTCTCCCCGCCACGAAAGCTCTGCCGAGAGCGCCGTTCCCATGGGCGGCGTTCCCGAACCATTCGTAGGCGCCGCGCGGCATTGCCAATGCTCCATCGACGCGGTGCAGGCGGCCCCAAGCCAAAGGGGTGGACACGTGCCGCCAAGAACGCCTTCCTAATCCACTTTGGTGTGCGCACGGGCGGTACTCCAGTGGACGCCACTGCCGACGGCGCCGCCGCCGAACCGCCCGCCGCCGACCCTCCCACCGAGGAGGTCGACGGAGCTGCAGACCCAGCGATGCAGTCCGAGGCCGCCGCTCCGGCGGCAGAGGCTGACGTCCCGATGGCGCAAGCGCTGAGCGATGCCGAGCTTTCATCAGATCACGAGCACGAGGAGCAGCCGCTGCTCCATGAGCAGCGGCTTGCGACAGTCAACCAGGAGCAGGCACGGCTTGAGGCGCTGCGTTGGACCGAGGAAGAGGTGGCTTTGTGGGTGAGTTGGGGGGGTGTGAAGGAGGACTTGATCTAGGCTGGAGATTGCACGTGGAGCACTTGGAGGCGCTAGAAGGAGTTCGAGGAGGAGCGTGCGGGCTACATGGAGGAGACCTCGTGCGACGAGTCCGAGGACGAGGACGAGGACGAGGGCGACGGCGAGGCACCCGCACCCGCACCCGCACCCGCACCCGCACATGCACATGCACCCGCGCAGCGTGCAGGGAAGCGTAAGGCTGCACCGCCTCGAGCACCGCCGACGCGCCCGCCAGACAGCAGTGATGACGATGGCCCATCATTGCATGCGCCAGCACCGGCGCGGGCAGGGCGGGGGGCCAAGCCGGCAGCCAAGGGGTCCGCACGGCGCAAGCCGCCAGCAGCCAAGCCAGCAGCCAAGGCAGTAGCGGCCATGTCGAAGCGTCAGCGACGGAAGTGATCTGTACACACTGCATGAGTATGAATCGTGTGTGTGTGTGTGTGTGTGTGTGTGTGTGTGTGTGTGTGTGTGTGTGTGTGTGTGTGTGTGTGTGTGTGTGTGTATGTGTATGTGTACTATTGTACGAGATTTGTACATTGCGCTCTAGACGGGGGCTCTTGGGCAGCAGCTCACAGCCTATTTTTGGTCGGTTTTTGGCGCTAAAAATGCAAAATTTCTTCGCGGGGCTCTGCCCCGCACCCCGCTGGGGCTGCCAGCCCCAGACCCCAGGCTGGGGCTCCGCCCCAGACCCCGAGTTAGGCGCTGTCGGCGGCCAGAGGCCGAGTTACGTCTGCAGGCAAAAGTCGCTCGCTGCCGTCTGAGCTCGAAAAAAATCGCGATGTATGTGTACTATTGTACGAGATTTGTACATTGCGCTCTAGACGGGGGCTCTTGGGCAGCAGCTCACAGCCTATTTTTGGTCGGTTTTTGGCGCTAAAAATGCAAAATTTTCTTCGCGGGGCTCTGCCCCGCACCCCGCTGGGGCTGCCAGCCCCAGACCCCAGGCTGGGGCTCCGCCCCAGACCCCGAGTTAGGCGCTGTCGGCGGCCAGAGGCCGAGTTACGTCTGCAGGCAAAAGTCGCTCGCTGCCGTCTGAGCTCGAAAAAAATCGCGATATACGTTTTATCAATTATCATATTTGAGATATATACGTATCCGGAAGCGGGATCTCTCTCATCTCAATCGGCGCATCGGAGAGCAGAGGACAAGCCTGCTGTGGCGTCGCCGCTGGGATCGATCGGCGGCGGCGCCAGCAGCGTTCTCCTTCGTCTCGGATCTGAACTTCTGAAGCCGACTTTGAGCGCCGATCGATCGATCTGAGGGCTGGCCGATGGGTGGGGCCGCGCTGGGGCTGGGACATCGCCGCCTCCGCGGAGGCCGGGGCGACCAGATAAAGCCGTAGGAGAAGAGC